GGAAAGAGTGAGGCCAGGTCGCTGTTAGGGGGTGGGGGGATCACCAGTGCTCCACTCTGTATTGTGCCCACCGTCTCACAGTTGAGAAAGAAGTCCACTCCACAGACCCCGCCAGATCCAGACAAACAGCTGGCTTGCTTGGCATGCAGCTGTGGCTAGCTGTGCCCTGAGCCTCTTGATCCATAAATTGGAATCCTCTGGGATTCGGAAGAAAACGTCAACCACGTGGCCTTCCCTGTTTCTACTGAAAAAATTACAGTGGAACTTAAAGGAGCTAATTAGAGTCTCAGAAGCCCTTTTCTAATAAGTTGCTTTTCTTCATGTAACTTTCCTGTGGCAGAATCACATGCCCAGAGTACGCTCAGCTAAGTGTATGACTGATGGCTTATTTACCTAGACCTTCACCTTTGTAATCCCCACCTACATCGAACCAGGGAATACTTCCTGCACCCTAGAAGGTTCTTTTGTGTCCCTGCCTAGTCAACACCACACCCCCACCCAGAGGGCTCAATGGTTTCTATTACGGTCAACTATACTCCTATAGCTGGAACTATGCAACCTAGGTTCCTTCTGGATTCAAGCAGTTAATAAGTTGCCTGTGTTGCCAGTGCTTTAGTTCCTTAATTGTTGCCAAATAGTATTCCTTTGTATGAATATGCTCCCATTGATTTTCTACACTCCTGTTGATGGACATTTACTTCCGTGTCTGGCGCATGAAGGCTACGGAGGCTAGGAGTATCCTCATACACATCTTTTGACAGATGCATGCTCTTATTTCTCTGGAGTCACAGAACGGTGTCAGCTTTTTAGTAATTACTATCATGCAAGCCTTCCTTCCAATGCTCATGTGAACTAGCACACCCTCCAACACCCCAGAACCGCTCCAGTCCCTTCTTCTGCCCTTCCGACACTGTTGGCTTCTGTTTCTAGATGGGTGGAGGACAGCTTGTGTTACTCATTCATTTCTAAGACTTGTTAGAACAGAATGGCAGCCTCACTAGAACACCCCCAAAGCAGTCTTGCACACCAAACATCTGCCTTCAAGGGACACCCAGGGCAACAGACGTCTTTGGTCAAGTAGCAAGAGATATCTGAAAGGAAGTGGCCAGGAAGTAATGGGACAGCATTTATTGCCTCTCCTAACTTGAACTTGAGCAGTCATGGAGTAGAACAGCTGAGGGCCTGTTTGGGGCAATTCCATCACATGAGTGTACATGGTCAAGAGTAGGTAGTTTGGGGTTTGCTATGGTGTTGAGTAATAAGGGAGGCAAAAGAGAGAAAGCCAGAAGGCTCGGCCACAGCCAGGTGGAGAAGGAAGAGCCTGAAGCTTTATGGTCAGTGAAGCCCTCTAGGTCCCTGGGTCAGAACCATCTCCCAGCTCCAGGGACCAGGAGTTCACCCCTCTGACGCAGCCAATCGCGGCTTATGAGTCAAGCTGGAGAAAAGTAACACAGACGGGATATTTCTCAGGTAGTCATGATTTCTGGGCCTCTGCATTGTGCTTGCCTGCAAGCATTTCCTGTTCTGCCAGATATTGTTCTGGGACTAACCATCATCAGTGCCTAACCTAAGGGGCTCAAGATTACTCATCTGAAAGGGTTACGGTCTCACCTCCTCTCATGACCTCTAGCTCAGAGGCATGGCTACCTCTTACCATTGCCTTTGGGCTCTCTTCAGGCTCACAAAAGAGAGCAAGATTATCCAGGAGCATGCTTCAAAAATCCTGAGAGTTCTGCCTCTAAGTCTCAACCCAGACCCTCAGGTTCCCCCTCTCCATCTGCAAGGCCTCCCCTTTCCTTGGCCATCACCACACTGTAGCCTTGCTCTCCCTGTACTTGCATCAGCTTTCCAGCCACCCTGAAGCCTCTGGAGCCTTTGACTTAGTGGGACCTTCTGCCTGGAGCGCCTCTTCTCTATGTCAAAGGTCACTTACACTTTTGCTCCTCCTGATTTGGTCCAGGGCTGCCTAGGTGAGCTCCAATGACACTGATGCCGGACAAACGTCCCTGTCTTTCTGATTCCCACTGGCTGTCACAGAACTCTGTCACGGACAGCACTCTGCCCTCTTCATTTGTCTGTCTCTGCAGTCTCTGGTATCCCTCTTCATTTGTCTGTCTCTGCAGTCTCTGGTATCCCTAACAGCAGGAAGAATAGAGGTCCAGGATTTTAATTCTGGATGTGACAAGGCATCCAAAGAAAAAAACCCCCAGAGGCAAGCAAGGCCTGGACTGTGATTCAAACAGAAACCAGATGCAAATTAAGAACATAACACGTTCAAGCCACACTCAGAAAGTCACTCGGAAGAACCCTTAGTAGGGATTCCATGACTACAACTTCCTACACAGAATAGGACTCTCATACCAAGGGCCCCAGTAACATGAGCTGAAGATGAAGTGTGCCCCGCAGGCCCCCAGCAGAAAACAAGGACACAGGAACACTGGACAGCAAGCTGGGGTGAGGTGGAGACAGACGGCTTGTGGCTGGCCTGAAGAACTTAAGGTGATGTTTAAACAACTCCACATCTTCGCTTCTTTCTGTAGGTCTGGGTGGAATATAAATTAAGATTTATATATGGATATCTTAGACAGCCAAGTCTATCAGTTTTTTGTTACCTAGCCCAGGGATTAGAAAAGAACCAGTATTCTTTTTTCCAGGGGTTAAAGAACAAATGAATGACCTAAGGGAATGTTTTTCTGGTCAGTGTTGGTGATTAAAGCCAGGGTCTTGCTTATTCCAGATAGGTAAGTGTGCTACCAGAGCTATACACTCCCAGCCCTCTTTGTACTTTAAACACATTTTTAATCAAAAACTTTAATTTCTGAAGAAACTGCAATGGTGCCCAACTAGAAGCTTTACCCTGATGATTAGTGTCATGGTCCTGGAAGGTTTCTGGTACTGGAGGAGAAAAGTAGTCATTAATATCACCCAGTTACAAACAAGTAGGTGGGTTGCCACCTACTACGGCAACCCACCTGCAAAAAGTCCTGGTGCAGTAGCAGCACAAATGTTATTGGAGTAACCAACCACTTCTTGATTGGATTTAAGACTCACTCCATGAGACAGAATCCATTCCTGACACTGTTAAAGTGGCCAAAAACCCGAGACTAGAAAGGTTGTGGGCCCTGGGAGAAAACCTATTACTATTATTCTGTTAAAGGAACATAACAACAAAATGACTCCTAATGACACATTGCTATTCCCATAGATCAGGGCATACCCAGCCATCATCAGAGAAGCAACTTCTTGCAGTAATGGTAATTAAGACAGAGACTCACAACTGGACAATATGCAGAGAGTTGGAGACTTTAGAGTAGTCAGCTCTAACTAAATGGGATGGATGCCCTTATCAAACCTCTTCCCTCAAGGCTCAGGGATCTACTCGGAAGAACAGAAAGAATGTAAGAGGCAGAGGTGGTGGATGACTCCAGGAGATGACATCTTCCAGACACAGCATGGCTGATACACATATGAACTCAAGAGACTTTGATAGCACACACAAGACCTGCACAAATTCAAACCATACAAAATCCCACCAAGTCCCAGCTCTTACCAAGAAGCTCTTAGGAAGCAATTTGCAACTGACACCTGCTGGAAATGGAAAATCAGTCTTCTCCAGTGGAGTGACACTGTACTGGTATGTCAGCCACACACACCAGAGCAGACCCCAGGATCAGGAGTAGTTAGCCATGGTTTTTTGTGTTCTCTCTCTTTCTTTTCTCTTTCTCTTTCTTTCTTTCCTTCCTTTCTTTCTTTCCTCTCTCTCTCTCTCTCTCTACATTATATAAACTTTTTAAATGGGCAAAAATAATTTTATTTATTTAGTTGGGAAGAGTACTCATATGGATGGATGTAAAGGTCAGAAGGCAACTTGCAGGAGTCTCTCTCTCTCTCTCTCTCTCTCCCTCTCCCTCTCCCTCTCGCCCAACACGGCCCCCCATGTGTGTCTTGGGAACAGATTGGTTGTCGAGAATTGGCAGCAAGCTCCTTTTTACTTACTGAGCCATCTTACAGGGTATTTTTGTTTGTTTGTTTGTTTTTGTTTTGTTTTTCAGAGACAGGGTTTCTCTGTGTAGCCCTTGCTAGCCTGGAACTCACTCTGTAGACCAGGCTGGCCTCAGAGAGATTTCCACCTGCGTCTGCCTCCCTAGTGCTGGAATTAAAGGCGTAAGTCACTACTGCCCGGCTGTAGGCCCCGCTGGCTGCAGGCCCCTGTTTTTGCTTTTTAAGATACGGTCTCTGTAAATTGCCCAAACTGACCTTGAACTCACTCTTTAAATCAGATAGACCTTAAACTGACAAGCTTCCTGCCTAAGCCTTCCAAGTTGCTGGGATTACAGGCTCCTGTGTCACCAGGTCCAGCAACCAGTACTGGTTTTGGAGATTAAAGCATGGGAGGAGAGTGTCACCTGCTAAGCAAGCTGGAACCTGCAGCCCCTGCTGTATCAACAGGCAGATTGGTTCTTCTTGCTCTGCACCACCAAGGACATGCCAGATGTCATGTACCCAAGGCCAAATGAGGCTGAAGGGAGACATCTAGCTGTACCATAATTGGGGGGAGAGGCGGGGGGGGCGCTCCTTGTGGTGTTCTGTGCTTTTCCAACTTGCTGGTCTTTTGCTGCCATTTTCCCTCAATGTACAGACAATACTTGGAAGCCTGACACACCAGACTGTTTGCTAGTGAAAGGTTGAGAATTGCCCAATAAGCAAACAGAACAAAAGCAAATCCTGAAATTCAGTGTCAGCAGAATCCTCCTGACCCCAGGGAAAGGAACAGCCTAACTGGAATTGATGCTAGACACATAGAGGGCTGAACAGGTGCAAAGTTGGGAGTCCTGGGATATGTCAAGTCCAAAGTCCTGCCCTGGGGCCTGGGCAAGGATGGCAGGGACCATTGTTATTTGGTACCAAGCCAGAACACAGGCCAGTTAAGACTCCCATTCAAAAACCAGACAGAGTAGGACATGGCCAGCCCAAAAAGAGACTCCAGAAGCACACCAATGTGTCTGCTGTCCAAACGGACACGTACCGTTTATTGCAATTATATGAATGGGCCCAGCCTGAGGCTTGGACACTGTATCGCAAGCCCTCAGTTGAGTCCTGTCTCAGATCAGACCCCACCCCCACTCACCATCACATCCAGCCATCCGATCTGGCAATAAGTTCTGAGATGAGACACGGGGCACACAGGTCTTTTGTCTAGCTGAGCCACTGAGCAGCCTAGCCAGCAGCTGGAACATCATTGAACTAAGCAAGCAAGGAATTCTCAGAAGTGTCCCATCAAACATGAGGGAGGAAGGCTGCCCTAGGTGTCTGCTCTGCAAAGCAAGCTTAGTTCTAGTGACCCCAGGTCAAGATGTGCCAGAGTCCCAATTACTTAAACCACTTAGAAGAACAGACATCAGGTCCTGTTAAACCTTGGCTGAAACTATCAACTTCCAAAAGAAGTTTAGTCAAAAGAAAAACACAACAAAACAAAACAACAAATCAGAGGAACCCTGGATCCTACCCCTCGGAGGACTGGAGGCGTATAGCCTTGATCTAAGCTTCTCGGAGCTACCAGGGTTTGGGCAAAGGCTGGCTATGTCACCACCAGCCCAGAGAAGAAGCAGAAGCAGTAGAGTTCATAGGACTCCTTTATATTAAAGTTTATTACATCTGCAAAATCTACTGTACAGAACCCATTGGATTAAGTAGCGTTTTGCCAAAAGCAAAAGACTCTCACTCTTTGGGAAACATTTTTGACTCCAGCCTGGGGACAGGGCCACAGGAGCTGAAGGTGAACTTGGTTCTCAGTGGAGGAGCCAGTACCAGCCATACTCAGGATGTGTCTTGTCAACATCCAGGAGAAAGGGTGACCAGAGATGGTATCAAAGGCGGGAGAGTCTTGGGTACCCTTACCACCCCTCCCCCAAAACTCTAAAGTCTCCTCCCCTCCCCCCTAGACTGTGACCTAGGAATAAGTTCTCACACAGGCTCTTCCAATGTCACAGTGGCCTAGGCCAAGACTGTGGCCCTGAGTCCATGCACACAGGCATGACTGGTGAAGAGGTGGCTTCTCCATGGCATCCTGGACTAGCCAGCCTACTTATGGGCCACCAAAACTGGGGCAGCATACAGATAGTCCATACCCTGTTGCACGCATGAGCGACAAACTCAGAGACAACACACAAACTAAGCCTACGTTTTGGCGTCCGGATTTGGTTCTTCTAGGTTAAAAAAATGAAAACAAAAACAAAAAAAAAGTCTTATTAACCCCGATGTGGTCTCCCGAATGTAGATTAGGGAAGCGAGGTGAGGGACACCAGTCAACTGACTTGCCTTACCCCAGAAGTAAGGTCTGCTGGGGCTCGAACAGAGAAATTAGAGGAAATATGTGCAAAACCAAGTTGTCTAAAGTAGACCTCCCCACAATGAGAAGTGAATTCCAAGGAGCCCTGGACTCCATCCCCTACCACAGCACGGCCAACCCTAGCGGTCTCTATGGGTAAGTGCTATGGCGTGTCGGCCGAAGCCCCTCTCCTGTCCCCAGGATCCTCCAGCCACAATAGGCCAACTAGGTCCAAAGCAGTTGGGTCCCCTTTCTGTCCAGAGCTGAGTCTCCTCTATTTGGAGAAACCGAGTCAGAAGAGTGGACAGCAGGTGTAGCTGTGGTAGAAAGATCAGATGCAAGAAACCCTCTGCACCCAAGCTTCTAGGCAGAAGTCAAAAGAGAATGAATTCCCAGAACACCCTGGGACCACTCGGGCTGGAACAGCTGGAAGGGTCTGGGTGCAGAGGAGATGGCACAGCGGTGGGGAGGCCAGGGCTTGAAGTTTTTCACAGAAGAGGCAAGTGGGAGCCCAGTGAGTGGCAGGGGTTGTGGGGGAAGAACTATTTCCCCATCAGGCGTAGAACTCCTCTTGCTTGGTGGGTTTCTGGTAGGCACCGCCATTGGCTTGTTTGGGCTCCTCCAAGGAGTAGCTGCCTTCGTCCTTCTTCTTCATCCGGTACAGCATGAAAGCCACCAGGCACACAGCAAAGATGAGACCCACCAGGCCTCCAGCAATGACACCTAGGGAGTAGACAGAGGCAGGCTCAGATCAATGGCTATACGGAGTCAGTGGTAGTCTCACCCCAGACGGACAGCATGGATGGTGGCCTGCATTAGAGTCAACCCGCCTCCTTCCCTACCCTGTGGCTAAAGATGCTGCACCCCAGTAACCCAGGCTACCTCAGGGCTACAACCTGTCTCCTCCTACCCACTTGAAAGGAGACTTACCTCCCAGGACTTCCTTCCTGTCCAAAAGGCCCTGAGAAGCACCTGTGGCTCCTTCATCCACCGGGGGCTGATTCCGCAGGCCAGGCTCTACTGCAGACACAGCTGTGTTCTCCCCAGATGTTTCAAAGGTGAAGTCCTACAGAAGGGCAGGTAGGGATCAGGTCAGGCTGGAGCCACTGACACAATAGCAACCTGTAGCACTGCCATACCCTGTTGGGATTCCCCTGCCACCCTGTCAGACATACCCAACCTATCCCAGCATCTGTCATGGAATACAATCACATTTGGGACCCTGGCCAGCTGAGACACAGATACCACCTCCAGTGACACAAAGCACACATTCTTGAATGAAAACTCTCATGATGGTCTCAGACAGAAAATCCATCCTGGTGTAAGTTTAGGTGGCTAGCTCTTAAACGATATCTAAGGAGTTGCCCACCTACTGATCTTGTAATCAGTCTGTTTAGGGGAAGAGGAAGGTGGGACCCTGTCACCCATCATTGTAATGAGGACTACAATGTGAATTACAGGACAAAGGACACTGGGCAGCCAGGTGCCAGGCACTAGTGGCCACCCAAGAAATCCCAGGAAATACAAAGCCACTCACCTGCTCTCCAGAGCCCTCTCCTGGAGGAAGCTGATTGGTAGCTCCATCCTCGGCAACCTCTTTGATGACAGAAGGACCTCCATCCTCCACACTTGGCGGTTGGTGATGGTCAGGTTGGCCAGGTGCTGTGGGAGCCAGGGTCTCATGGAGGCCAGGCTGCACATCTCCATGGGGATGAGATGTGACAGATGTCTGGTCTGTGGTGACTCTGGCTGTTGAGACCCGTTGGGTGATCGGGAGCTGCGTGGTCTCCCTGTGCCCGGTGGTGACCTCCTTTTCCTTGTCCCGAGCAGTGAAGCCAGGCTCTGCTTCTACATGGAGCACAGGCTCTCCCTCCTCGGGCTTCTCTCCAGCTGGCAGGACGGAGGTGAAAGCAGCCTCGGCATCCCTGCTGGTGAGCTCTGGAGCTGTGGGCGTGGCTGTCAGGAGCCACACATCCCTCCAAGTGGAAGGCGTCTGCCGTGACAAAGTGATATCTGGCAAAGCACCTGCAGGGTCAGAAGTGGGGTTTGGGGTGTCAGGGTAGGAGAGGTCTTTAGGTGTCAAGCCTGACACGACTCATGCCTGAGTCCCACGGGTGAATGAGCCAAGGCTGAACTCACTTTGAAAATTAGGCCAGAAAAGATGCCCTTTGCAGGTTCACCTGCCTAGGAGTGGCCTGCACTCTGAACTGTGAGAAAGATCTCGGGAATCTGGGAAGGGATCCGGCTGTGAGTACAAGCCAAGACACCAGAGCTGATAGGACTAAAGCTCAGTACAAACACCTCTTCTACCTTCTTCCCCAAGGCCTAGACTCCCAAGAATACACGGCTGCATTTTACCTAAGTTCCAACCCTTTGCTCTGGCCCCCTTCCCACTGCTACCTCGATTTCCCTTCTGAGCTCTCTCCACTCTTCTGGGAGACCCCTCTGGCAAACTGCGGTTCACAGGATGATCCCCCCCCCCCCCCCCCAGAACTGGTAACGAGAGATGGAGGTGATGGCAAATCTATAGCCAACCGACTCTGTGCTTCCTGCAGCTCCTAGCAGCCTCTGGATCAAAGTCATTCCCATCTCACAGATGGAAACACTAAGGCTGGGTGGAGTCAAACTCCTCCAAGGGTTGACTCAAGTGGCTGCCCATGGCCTGCTGGAGCCACTTCACTTCTCTGGGGGTTTCCCTTAGCTGAGTGGCTTGCAGTTGGACACCATTCTTCCCTTTGGCACTGTCCTTCTGACTCCAATGGCTAAGGATGGGATTGGGGGCAAAAAGGGTGCTGCCTAAAAGCTGGGTGACACCCTGTTCACCACTCCAGCATGCTCTATGGCCATCTCAGTGTTCTGGGTCAGTCTTACCTGTGCCCGAGCCAGAGAAGTTGTCGGAGTCATCCCCAGAGCCATCCTGATCTTCAGGAGGCACATTTACAGCCACAATTTGCTGCAAAAAGATAAGAAAGGGGTATGAGATGAGTCTTAGTCAGTGCCCAGTATCCCTGGGTTCCCATCCTAGGCAGCTGAAAAGGCTCAACCAACCACTTCAGCCACACATGTAGGAAACCATTGCCTGTGGCCCTGGGGCTAACTCTGGGAGACCCCTGGTCCTCCTCATATTCTCAATGCTGTAACAACATAGTCTGGTTCAAGGTGGAGGCACAAGTGACAGGGACATCGTCCTAACCCCAGAGTGCTCCGACCAGTTAGGGAGCTTAACCAGTGTCCAGCTGAGCTAGACAATGGGGTGTGGGCATAGAAGTCTCAAATGTGAGAAGCAGAGCCAGGCCTGTCATGGAGGAACTATCTGTGCTGAAGCAGCTCTGTCCACACAGGGTGGTCCCAGGCCTTGTCCCAAGGCCTGTTGTGTCAGCCACAGGAAGGACTGTATCCTGTCCTTCTTAGTGAAGAAAGGACAGGGTACCCTTTGGCTAGGGACAGTGGACACAAATTCAACAAGGCTTCTGCATTAAGGAGGCTCTGCTGAAAGGGCAGTAGGCCTGGGATGGGCTCTCCTTGGCAACAGCAGCTGCAGGAATGCTGCCAGCCTTGCCTGCTCCAGCTCCAAGGGACTGCAGGTGGTGGAGTACAAATACAGTCCCAAAGGACTTGGACAGGGAAGGGGAGCATGGCTCCCAGCTAGGCAGGCTGTGTGAGGGGCAGAGCTGGGCTCATGGCTGCTCTCAGCACTAGTTCTAGGACAGCCAAGTACAGAAGGAAGACCCAGGTAAGCAAGTGACAGAGAGGGAAGATATGGGGCCCTGCCCAGCAATGAGACTACCCCAAGTAACCCAGCTCAGTGCAGACCATCTTACAAGCCCCCAGCACAGACCAGAACAAAGAATGAATTTTTAAAAACTATGTGTAACAGTTAGGAGGACTCACATGCCTTCAATACTACCACCCAGGAGGCAGACATAAAAGATTACAGATTGTATTTGAGGCCAGCCTCATCTACATATGGGTTCTGGGCTAGCCAGAGCTATAGAGAGAGACTTTGTCTCAACAAAAGAGAAAAAGTAGTACATGGTTCAGATAAAGGCTCCAGAGACTGCCTGACTTCTGAGTGGCAAGACCTCACTTACCAACTGAGTGGCCTTAGGGATGTCGTTATGCATCTTTTAGCCTCAGTTTTCCCATATGTAAAATGGTGCCAGCACTAACATCTGCACTACTAAACGGTCACAACATTTCTATACAATTAAAAAAAAACAAAAAAACAAAAAACAAAACACAAAACAAAAAAAACCATACAGCCTGGTAGGTAATGGAGGGTCATGTGCACAGAGGAGGATATGATCGAGACCAAATTTCAAGAGAAAAGGAGGCAGGAGGGAGCCAGCCCACCAGGAGCCTCTACAGAACATTCAGGGTGGCCTAGCTGAAGCTCACCGTGGTCCAGAATGCTTGGCCCAGGGACCCAGACACATCCCTATTGGCTTCACTCATCAGGGGAGTCAAGATTGGCTGAGGGACCCACAGAGGAAGGCTGCAGCTGTCTATGCTCCTTCTGTTACAAGGGCAGTTCTGCACATAGAGCAGCCACAGGCCGGAGGTACCAATGAACTTCCTTTACAAGTATGAAGCAAAAGCAAGCTCTTCTCCCCTGGGACAAACGTTTTGGGCCTCGACAGTCCCATCTGCAAGGACAGTTGGTTCACTGTGGCTTAACTCCAGAGAACAGTTACAGCCTGTCACTGCGCAGACCCAGTAGACGAGTGGTTCTCAACCTTCCTAATGCCCTGACCGTTTAATACAGCTCCTTGTGTGGTGGTGATTTCTGTGCCATTTCATAATTTTAATATTGCCACCGTTATGAGTCATAATGTAAATATAGAATATGTGGCCCCCACCCAAAAGGGTCGCGACCCACAGTAGACTCTCAAAGTTTGCTGGGGCCCTTCCACAGAGTAGTCAGATCCTGTCCCCTTACATCCTGTAGACGCTGTCCCAGGTGGTACTCCAGATTCCGGTGGTAGCCTTCCCTATGGCTGCCTCCTCCAGCGATGGGGAAGAGCACCCACTGGACAGTCCTCGAGCTCATAGCTCCGTCTTCATTCCAGGTCTCAACTCTATCACTTCCTAACCCACTGACTCCCTCCCTCCATGGGAAGGAAAGCGGGAGATGGGGTAAAGGTCCCAGATCCAGCTAGATCAGCCTGAGTCACACATTAGGAGTGCAGACCTAGTTCGATGTCGGGTAGCCAAGGCTGGAGTTCAAGCAAACACAGGGCGGCTAGCCTCTTCCCTCAAAAGTCAAAATTTCCCGAAAGGGAGGGCTTCTCTCAGAGTTAGAGAAGATTGGGTCTTCACAGAGAAGCAATTTGTTCCCCTGGTTTTGCTTAAGCTTATCCCTTTGTGATCTTGTTTACGCAACAAGCTTCTAGAACAAATCTCGGCTGGAACCAGTAAACCAGGTCCAGGGCAGGGAGAAGGGGGAGCCAACCCCCCTCCTACACCCCATACCTCCAACTCCTGCTAAGCAAAGAGAAGCAGCTCCCTGACTGCCCCACCTCCAACCTCAGCTGGGAACTTTCATGATGGCATCACAGGTAAGGAAAGGAAGAGACTTCAGCCCCAGAAGAGAAGAAATGGGGAGAGGGGATAGTTCCCTCTGAACCAGGGCTCCACAGGTCCCAGCTGAGGGAGTCTTTGATGCAGCCATCAGGTACTATTTAGAACCCTGTGTGTTCCTGAGGACTCACGGGGCCTTCTCAGTATCACTTCTGACCTGGGTCCTTCCAAGACCGTGTTGCCACAGCTTAGAGATGTCTAGGGAAAAGAAATGCCCATCGAGCTACCTACCTCCTGCCACTCAGGGAAGTAAAGGCAAGCCAGCCCTTTCACCTCCACAGGCCTGCTCAGCAAACAAATCAAGAATAGAGAACAGAGCGGTTGCGATAGTTCAGCAGGTGAAGGTCCTTGCCACAGACTGATCCTGGGACACAAGTGGAGCAAAGAAAAGATTCCCATAAAGTTTGCCTGACCTCCTCACGAGTCTGCTGTGGAACATGTGCAGCACACAGGTACAGGTATATATGGAGAGAGAGAGAGAGAGAGAGAGAGAGAGAGAGAGAGAGAGAGAGAGAGAGAGAGAGAGAGAGGAAACCTCATGGTAAAGATTTTCATGGTTTGTGCAATCAAACGCAGGACTACTTTCCCTCCTACTGAAGCACAGAGCCTGGAACCTGGCTGACTTGAACAGCCAAAGTTAGAAGCTTGGTTTACTTAGAAGGATCATAGAGGTAGATACATGGGGAGTGGACACAGGGTGAAAGACCAGTTGACACGTCTGCTTTGGACCTCCTCTGGGGCTAGAGAGACACACCCAAGGCAGGGGCCCAGTCCAGGACAAAGGGGGCACAGGCCTCAGACTTCCCTACAGCTGAAGATAATTTTCACCACTCTTTGGTTCCTACACTTCCCTTGCAGCTCCTCAGGTCCTGCTGAGGTTAGCATCTCTACTAGATAAGAAACAGCCCTTCCCAGGGTGAAGGACCTACACAAGGCCATCAGCCAACAAGTGTCCTCACACTGCAGTACATCCACTCCCCGGGCCTAAGGACCACCTCCCCTGGCTGAGACCATCTGTTTCAAGGGAAAATGGCCTCAGTGTCTTGACCATAGTTTCAGCACCAGGAAGCAAAATGAGTGCTTAGCCCTGCCTAGCTGCCCAGCTGGGTACCAGGCACACACTTGGAAGAGATAGAAGCAGCAGGACATGGTACAGGAGAGTTCACCTCTAGCTGCAAGCCAGCGAAAAGAACTTGTTTGGAGCTGTGGGCAGAGGGCTGGCTGGGATACTTAAAGGCAGCCTGGAGCCACTTCCTGCCAGCTCCCACATACACTGACTGTAAGGAAGGCCACCCTCTGTGGTAGTCACTGCAATCTGATGGAGCCCCATGTCCTGGCTGCCTGAGGCTGAGGGTGGTCTGTAACCCAGCACTTCATCGCGATATTCTGAGTATGAAGACACTTCAGCTGTGTCACAAAAAAATCATGATACCAAGGGGATGTGTCTGATGGGTTCCTGGATTACAAGCTTCTCAGAGAGAATGCCATCTGCTCCATACCCTGAGAGTCTGCAGCCCCTGGGTACAGAGACCTGTGGCTTCCCATCAGAACCCGAAGATATTATCATGTTACCCGCTGTGCAACTTTGGTGGTATCTAAGTTACACAGCCCTTAAAAAGCTTTACTGATTCCAAGGGGCTGTCTACTTTTTATTTGCAGGGTAAAGCATACACCTCCAAGCCTGACAACCTGGATTTGATCCCCAGGACCCACATGATAGGAGAGAACTGACTTCCTGAAGTTGTCCTATGACCTCCACAAGTGTGTCCACACAAGTAGACACAAATACACATACATATGAAATAACATGTAATAAAAGATAAAAAAAATTAAGGTCACAGAATTTCGATACTAAATGGATTCCTTCATTCAAAACTCAGGACTCATCACCTGGAATCTTGGAGGTTGGAGCAAGGTAAGAAATAGCCTGGTGTTGACCCTAACAGATCTCAGAGCACGGACATACCCAGTGCCCCATTCCAGGGGCTTCCAGAAGGAGAAATCTCAGAGACTGGGGTATGAAGTCTCTAATGTAGGCAGTGCTGGGAACTTCACTTGTGGAGTGGGAAAGAGAGGCAAACCTGTGGGTTGTCTGCACTGCCTGGTGCCATAACAGAACCCCCGGCTTCTGTGGGTGGAAGCCGAGTCATTAAATCAACAAGTCCCATTAGTCACAACATCCAGTGACAAAGAGCTGCTGTTATCAAAGGAGCTGGGTCACAGCCATTCCCAAGCAGCCTGGATCCCAGCTAGTTGGGGGGTGGGGGGTAGGGAGGTGCCCACACCTGTTCCAGGAGCCCAGGCTTCCGTCATATGGTCTGTCTACTCAGCATGCTACACTGGGAAAATGCAAGGATGCACCCGCACCCCCAC